AGACAAAGGAAAGCAAGTCACAGGCCACTCAACGCCTACTCCAGGGGGTCTGGTTTGCTGAGACACCATCTTCACCTTCCTAACAAGGTTATTTCTGACAGCATGTGTAGATAAACATTTAGCAACGACTTAAAAATAGTTTGTTCCTCATGAAGATACCCAACTGAATCAATTAATGTTTGTCAACCCAATATTTTTATTAAAAGCAGTTCATACAACAGATGATTCGTATATGTTGCCTAGCTAAAACCTAGATGCTTTATAACATTTTGAAGTTTGTAAGTAGGATTTTTTTTTTTAATCCGAAAGGCATGTTCTTAAAATGAAGTCGTATTTAGTGCAGCCAAACCTATTGGTTTTCTAATGGGATGCTTCCGAGGAGCTGTTCCCTACTATAATGGAATAACAAACTGCAACAGTAGTTGATAATATTATCTATTTTGAACCTCAACGCTGTCTCTCTAATGTTACTTACAAGTAGTAAATGCGATTATCAACTTATTTAAAATGTTTCTTGTTTGTGCAGGAAACAGAAAGCAACTTCACTGAAATGAAGATATATATTACTTGATAGACTTTTGCACACACAGTAAAGGGGCATGCTGTTTTGACAATGCTATCAGCCTCCCTTGCGCATCTAGTGGCAATATGACACATGTCATAAAATCTGATGGTCTTCTCCATGTCCCTGCTTCCAAATAATAAAGACAGTTGTCATGGCAATTCCAGTAGCAGCTACACCCCACACACACACTTATGGCTACAAAAATTGTAAACTTTCCTTAAAAAAAAAACAAAGTTGCTTGTTTACTTATTCTTTGTGTTATAGGTGCCGTTCAAATGAAGATGATGGCAACCAGAAGACATGAACAAAGGTTTCTGTTCTCTAAAAGATATGCAAAACATTCTTATGTATTTTTATAAAAAGTTCTTTTGTTCACAGCTGACAAATATAGACCTCGTTTACACTTGCTCATGCTGGCAGTTCTTAGCATAGTACTGTTGTGATGTTTTTTGGTTTTTGTTTTCTTTACAAAAATATGTTCCATTTTTGGATGATAAGATTTTTATTGTAGTAAAACTGAGATAGGCAACTGATCATATTTTAAGTCTATTATAGAGTCTCCATGCACACATTCAAAATATAATCAAATGCTGTTATAGAATTGCCGACATACTGCTTAAGACTTTATAATGGCACAGTCATAGAGGTAATATATTAAAAGTATATTTGGGCTGCCAACTATTAATACTCTGTGACACTCTGTTAAAGTGACATACATTACTCAGTCCTTTTGTATTGTTTTAAGCAACCCAGTATGTGAATCTGGATGTCTGTATGAAGAACCATCTGGATTCTGGTTTTGTTAAACTCTATGCAATCGAATCCAATCCATACTGTACCGGTAGTTCAGTTTCTGCTTTGTCCAACAATCCTATTTAGATATTATGAACAAGCTAGTTTCACATGGAGGCCAATCTAAGTTTAACGAAATATCCTCAAAGTGAGGTTATGAAGAAGCATAAGGGCTGTTTAAAATTCCTAACTTCTGTAATAGTATGTTAGAGTTGGAAATACATTTTAAGTGCTGTATTCTGTTTATTGGTATTTTATACTACTGCATAGATTGTTATAACAAAAAATGTTTAGGAACAATTTTGGTAAATGATACCGAATATTCTGCTAATAATATGTTTCCCTTCCTATATAGGGTAAGTGAAAAATTTGTGACAGAAATTTACGTGGCTTGATGTGAGCTCAAGAAGCTGAACCAGTCTGAAAATTCAAGATGATAATGTCTTTGCCACTGAAAGTGACAAGCTGTAACACAGAGTTTTGAATCGGCATGAAACAGAATTTTTCTTCAATAAAGTTTTATTTTTTATTTTTAACATTGCCTCTGATAAAGCTTATTTTTCAGTTTCTTTGTTTATTCTGTATTCTAATAGGTAGTAATTCAGTAACACTTCGTATTAGCAGCCTGGTAATACACTACCAATTTATTAATGGATGATAAAGAGAGACAGGTCATGCTGTTGATTTACTGTTTCTCTGGTGATTGCTCCTCCACTCCCCAGTGAGAGAATTGAGATATTTTTTTACAAACTAATCATGCTCTCCAGCTCACTATTCCTTAATCTGTGCTCCGCCAGTATTTATTTATTATGTTTGTGCTGTCTCCTTTAGTCAGGAGTTCAAGGTGCACGACATGAATATAGAATTGGCATCCTTTCCTTTGGCTTTACAACAGCAAAAACAACCTTTTGAAATAGGTTGGACTGAGAGAATTGTTGCCCAAAGTTGCCCAGTGAGTTTCAGTGAATGAAGATGGCCTAGAATTTGAGTCTCCTTGGAGCAATTCAACTGCCTGAGCTTTGTGACACATTTGGGAAATTTTGGAACTGAAATCCAAACACTGGGAAGACTCAAGGCTGCTAACTGTCGGTTATATAAGTTCTAATAAAATGGAAGAGATTTTGAAAATAAATTACTGTTTTCAAAAAGTACTAAATAGCAACTAAGTACCTGAAGAAAAATATGCCTGAAGGCCAATCTTGCCTTATAAAATAACATTTTTATATAGATGGCAAGGCTCAGTAGAAACAAAGATGTGACTGGTATTGGGTCCCTCAAAATGTCAAAGAAGCTTGTAAAAGGATGCAAGCATTTTAAGAAGGTGAGCTTGTCTTTCCAAATGTCTCTTCTGAATAATTTTTTAAAGCATGACAGTACTATCTGGTACAGGATTCCAGTTCATAAAACATGAACATCACCACAATGTATTAAATGTGCTATAAGCTGCCTTATTTAACATTTTTCTAATACTCAACTTGAATACAAAATATAGAAAAAAATGTACTCCTTATAAATATTGGAGGTGTTTTGGGTAGAAATTTGATGACATGGCTCTTTTTCTCCACATAGCCTTCCAACATGGCCAGTAATTAAGAACGCCGATAGTTGCATCTTGGCAGCATCAGGAGCACCAGATATGTTCTCCAGGTATAGCAGTTAGTGAAAAATGGGATAATCCAATTTCTATTTAATTGGAAGGTTTAAAGCCACAACACCTATCTTCACTTCCTGTGTTTCAGTCTATTTAAAATTAACTAAAAAGACCTGGCTCAATTATTATTTTTCTTTTTGTAGAAATTATTATTACTGCTGTCTATGAAAATAGAAGTAGTGCAATTCTGTGAAAATAACAAGTGCTGCAGAATTCACATATGAACTCATATAGCAAAATATAACAGTGCTGAATGAGTGACACTTATGATAGGTTCTCAAAGTTCCAGTTATTGTAGCACCTCCACAAGGTGGTGATTTGTGATTTGGCAACTGGCTTGCAGTAAAATGGTTGCAAGGTCCCAGAATCACGTGATCGCCACTTGCAATCTTCCTTGCCATCTGCTCAAGGTTGCGAGTCACTTTTGCCAACTTTTCTCCCAAGAGACTTGCTATGGATCACAATAGTGGGCCCCAACCTTTGTGGCTTGGCAGCCTGGCGGGGGGGGAGGGGAACTGAGCTAGGTGAGCGGTGGGCCAGTGTGCACGCGCATGTGCACAGCTCAACTTGCATGAGTTGTGGGTCAGCATGCAGCTCAACTTAAGCAAGTTGAGCTGTGCGCACACTGGCCCCACTGCTTACACAGCCCAGTTGTGAATAGGCCACTACCCAGTACTGGGCTGCAGCCTAGAGGTTGACCCCTGGATTACAAATTCCCAGGGATTTTGTACTCCATAGCATTCTGCAACACTAACCAACACACATGCTGTAGCCTGTCCACAGCCCCCTTTATGTGTGCCATAGTGCTTGTTCAAGGTCCCCCCCCAGCACTCATTCCACCGTGTTCTCGCCACCTGCCTACAGCATTTCCTGTGGTATCTGCACCCCTCCAGCCATTGCCTGGAATTCCCACCTCTTCCTGCAGTTCTGAGGTTACAACTACAGCCAGGACTGCTGTGATTGCCACCCAAGCAAAGCAGTCACATGGTATTGCACTTTGCAACCACATTGCAAGCAATGGCAATTCTGGTCCCAGTTGAAGTAGCCACATTTAAGGCTACAGGTAATCCTCGATTTATGACAACAGTTTGCCCAAGTTTTCTGTTAAGTGAGACATTGTGTTTTGCCCCATTTTATGACCTTTCTTGCCAGAGTTATTAAGTGAACCATTACAGTTGATTACTTAGTAACCTGGTTGGCAAGTGAATCTGGCTTCCCCATTGACTTTGCTCGTTAGAAGATCACAAAAGGGGATCACATAATCTTGGGACACAGCAACGATCATCAGTATGAACCAGTTGATAAGCGTCTGAATTTTGGTCATGTGATCATGGGGATGCTGCGAAAGTTATAACTGCAAAACGGTCATAAGTCACTTCTTTCAGTGCCATTGTAACTTTGAACAATCACTAAATAGACTGTTGTAAGTTGAGGACTACCTGTACTGCAAAAGTCTGAAGAGCACCATAATTCTAATGAGTAGCAAAAAGGCATAATATTTAGTTTTCTCTAGGAACTAAATATGTACATTTCCAAATAGAGAGTAGCTGTATTGGAAGTGCATTTATATAGACTTAATGATTACTGTTCTTCATACACATTCAGTATTAATTTCTCAGAATGCAGAGTTGCATATTCACTGTCATTTGAAGCCTACAGTATGTGTGTTCTGGGTCTATGCTAAGCATGCCTTTTATTGAAGGCATTCTGAAACGATCGTAGGATTTAATTTGATGTGTTCTTAATTCATTCTTTAAAACCAAGAATTTGCAGATGCTTTTTAAGCATTCCTGGGTTCTCTCTGTGCTCAAAGGCAGATTCAGAGTCACCTAAGGGTCATACAGATATAAACACTACTGAGAGTAAACAATTTTAAAGAATTAATACACTGGTTGTAAAATGATTCTTAAAAAGGAATAACAACATCTGTCAGTAAAGCAATAACACCTTTCCTCAAATACAGCAATTTTTATTCTTCAACTTAATGTTTTATTCCCTCTTTAAAACAGAATGAGGCGATCACTAAGCTGCAATATATACCTTTCAGATGGGCTGTGATTCTAGATTCATAGAGTAGTCCAACACAGTAATGTCCATGAAAGCTTTGCCACCTGTTTTTGCTACTCATTTGGACCATCTCTAACAATAATGTCTTATCATTTCATCTGTGGAAACGATGCCCGTGCAGCTCATCAAAGAACATAATCTTATGGAAGAAACGAGCAACTAAATCTATTGCTACAAAAATGTTTCTGTTCAAGAATCTAGACACCTCATTCCTACTCACCTACCATCATCCCTTAAAACATGTTTTTTTCCCCTCAGAATGTTGATGCATTTAAAAGTTATTGCACAATGCTTACGACGGCTTTGAGGATGAACGCATAGAGGTTGCAGAATTTTTGTGACTGTGACAGTGTTGGCAAGTGCATTTTATGTCTCTTTCTGGCCTAAACAGGCAACATAAGCAATCAAGTGGCCTTGGCTGTTTTGATTGGTGTAACTCTTTTGTAGAAATTGAACGATTGCTAGCAGTCGCAGCTGCAGAAACAGCCTCTTTTTTCTTTTCTCTTAAGATAGTTAAGTGCTGTAACCTTTCCATTTCTACAAGACGCGAGACAATTTTATCAAGTGAGTCATTAAGTGGTGGATTTATAGATGATTTCCAACTATCTGATTTGGATAAGGACAATTTTTTAAAATCCAAATTATTATAGGGTGAAGGAAGAAAATCAGGGTATGGAAACTTGTCGTTTTCAAGTAAAGAGGGAGCATCTTCCTGGTCCATGAAAGGGTCTGTCTTTATGTTAAGATTTAGATTTTTGAAATATTTCAGCAAAGTTATATTTCTTTTCTCGCTCTCGGTCACTTCCTTTTCTTCTACCAAAAGCTTGTTCTCTGCGTGAACACTTCTTTTTTTCAATTTCCATTTACTTGCTGAATGTATGTCATCACTGCTACTATCCGTAGCAAGGTAAGAATCTGAAGTGGTAACTTCATTGGTCTTTTTGAGAGAGTCTCCATCATCTTTTCTGCAGTTTTTTCCTAATGTGGTCTTCTTAGTTTCTGGATAAGAAACAGGGTGATATCTCTTCGTAAAAGAATGTACCGCCGGATTAGTAGTGGCTAAATGTATAAGACCATCACTGGAGCCAGATGACAGTTCTGCATCAGGTTTATTGAAGTCTCTGAAGAGAAAATGAGAGAAGCTGAAATTGTACTTTACACACTGTCCTCCTGCAAAAAAAGCATCACCAAATCTGTGTGAAAAACTACAATTGCATCTGAAGTGCCACACAGAATAATCTGAAATAAGAGTGACACTTATCAATTACATTTTTCCCAGAAGGGGCAAGAATCAAGCACACAAGTGACTGGAAATATATGGCATCCCATCTAACTTTATCAAAGTTCACGGATCAAAAGAACTCTCTGGTCACAGGGCAGGATGCTGCTCCAGTCACCCCTACAGATACCCCCCATTAAAAAAAACAAACACGACTTGGCAAATCTGAGTGACTCTTATCAGCAAAATGTTGTGCTTGTCTGTCACAATAGCCGGGTCAGAGCAACTTGTTTTTCATTTTTTTAAATAAGGTAATTGGCCTCTCTAAACAGTATTGCAGGATAACAACCTAGGGATACTATAAAGAATGGAGGAGAAGTCATAAGGGAATAATAGTAGTAGTAGTAGTAGTAGTAGTAGTAGTAGTAATAATAATAATAATAATAATAATAATAATAATAATAATAATATAATTTCAAATTCGCCATTAGTCAATTGCAAAAGGCGCCCTTACTAGGAACTGCTTCCATCCTATGACGATATCTGCAATACCTGCCTATCCCAGGTCCTTGGGAAGGACTCGATAGGTAGACAAAAATGCCAAATCCAGTCTGAACATCTGGCTGACTGTGCGATGATGATGATGATGATTATTATTATTATTAATACTAATACTAATACTAATAATAATACTAATAATAATACTAATAATAATAATAATAATAATAATAATAATAATAATAAAATTGGAAGAGACCTTGGAGGTCATCTAGTCCAACCCCCTGCTCAGGCAGGAAACCCTATACCATTTCGGACAAATGGCTGTCCAGTCTCTTCTTAAAAACTTCCAGTGTTGGAGCATTCACAGCTTCTGGAGGCAGGTTGTTCCACTGGTTAATTGTTCTGTCAGGAAATTTCTCCTTAGTTCTAGGTTGGTTCTCTCTTTGGTTAGTTTCCATCCGTTGCTTCTTGTCCTACCTTCAGGTGCTTTGGAGAATAGCTTGACTCCCTCTTCTTTGTGGCAGCCCCTGAGATATTGGAACACTGCTATCATGTCACCCCTCGTCCTTCTCTTCATTAAACTGGACATTCTCCTCCCTTACTGCCCCAGTTATGTTTGAACATGATTTCAAATTTGTGCTCAGTTAAGTTTACTTTTTCTCTTCTTCCAGCAGTGCTCTAACATCTTTTTCTACCGCTTCAATTCTCGCATGTCACCAGGATGAAGGGAATTGCTGCAAGCTTGCCTAGAAATTTCTTAAGGGCCCACAGGACACCAAGTAGGTACAGAAACCACCCGGGCTGAGTCATCTTAATCAGGCTATTGGTACTGTGGAGATCTTGAGTAGCCAGTTTCGTCTGGACTAGAAAGTGATTTGCCCTCCACAAAAGATATATATAGAAATGCCCCTCATACTCGACTTTCTACATACCTGCTCTCAAACAAAAGTGATTGTGTGAATAGTCACCAATGGAGACCCTGAACTCCCCAATTCTGCTTAAACTGGCCCTGAGAGCATGGCAATTCAAACTGCTCAACATAGGGACTTTGATTGCTATTAATTATTAACAATTGCTATTAATAGTTAACATTAATAAATAGCAACCATTCATACAGAGAATTGCTTTTTGCAAGCAGACATTTCTCAGTGTCTATCATACTTGTTTGTTTTTTCGCAATTAAATTTTGAAAAAAATCCTGACTTATATGTTGGCATCATTTTGCACATACCAATCCACCCAGAAAAATAATTTCCAAAGAGTGTTTTAAAATAAATTCAATGCTTGGCAGTTTATTAATGAAGATGTTGAGCGGAAAGCATCTTGTTTGTGCCCTCATTCTTTTTTTTAAAAAAAAAGCAATATATTTTTTTACCTGCTAACTGAATTATTGCCTTGATTAGGAATATGGTTCCAGGAATGGAGTTGCCTTTGTTTGTTGCTACTGGAATTCAGCTGAAAAATGCAAAACAGTTTTAACAAAAAAACAATTGGTATGCAACTTGGAAAAATAGTTGAAATTTAAGCAGTTGAAAGTAAATCGCATTATGAAAAGAGTTTTGCAAACTTATGCTACCTGTGCTGTCCTGGAATTTTTTGACATGTTAAAAGTTGTCAACTGTTCAACTGCAGCTTTATAGTGGTCCTATAAAAGAACAGAGTCACTGTAATATTTATAAAACAAAACATGCATTATAAAATGCAGTAACTATTTTGAGCTATGTGTTTCATCTCAAGCCTATACATAATTCCACGTGTTGGCCTGAGAAATTCCACAGATGTGCAACTCATACTTAAATATTTTTATGGACTTAGTTTAACAATTGTTGCTGAAATTGTTGGACTTACATGCAAACTACAATGATTGCCTATTTACTGGTGAATCAACTTAACATAACCTTAATACCAATGCTAAAACAATTCTATCGCTAAACCAGAAGGTTCCAATCACAGAATGTTTTGAATGGTGTCCAATATGATTCCTTGCCAGCTGGCCAGAAATTATGATGAAAATAAGGCTGAGTCTTTTCATCTTCTTCAAAGTTTCCCTTTGCTTTAAATTCCAAACAGGATTGGGGGAGGAAGGGAAGCACGCAAAGTCTTAGAATACATTGAACTCTTAGTTTCTACTGCTTATTTCCATCCTTACCCCCCCCTTTGGAATTTTCCAGACTTTAAAACAGTTGGCCTCAAAGGCTAGCATACAGACAAAGGGGGCAATAAAATATTGAATTCACTGAAAGGGAGAATTGACACGACTCCTGGGATCCAATAACAGAAAGCAGGCTTCAAAATAAACATGCATGGGACTAGTATTTTGTGGATAACTAAGAGTTTAATCTATTTCGTGGAAGAGCTGGAAAACCAAGATTTAAATGGTTTAGAGAACACTGACGTCAATTCACACCTGAATAATGTATGCAATACTTCCTTTGAAATAAAAATGTCAATTTAGCATAGGTCACTATAAGATTATTAAAGGAGTTTAATATTTCTTGCCCTTACCTTGTAAAATGTGCTTGTAAGACTGCCTGCAAAAGATCAAAAGTAACCTTTATTTATCTATATAAATTGTTTTGTAATTTCTTAACATAAAGAACATCTACACTCGAACGCACCTCCTGTGGAAAGCTTACCTTCTGGTGAATAAAATTTCTTTTCAGCAGAACAGTCAGTTTCCAGACCACAGACATATGATTCCTGTAATTAAGTTCATGTTTAGTTTTACTAACTGCATATACATGAACTATACATTTTTACTTGTATTATTTTGGTAATAATGTTATTACTGTATGCTATCCACAGTTAGCCTGAAGTTTGTTACTCTTATAAATTAAACGTTGCTCCAATAGCTATGGTGCATTCTGAAAAGCACTAAACAGTCCATTTGAGACCACATTTTAGGAAAGGTTATTTTAGAATGTAGAACTAACCCTAATTATATCATCTTAAGTTTCCCTCAGGTTGAGTTTGACTCAATATGTAGACATGTCCTTTTGGGGGGTAAGAATACAGAAATGGTTTGTCATGGCCTCATTCTGGATTTTCTTTTATTTTTTTATTTCCCAGTCTACTTACATATAGGTAATTCTATAAATGGGAGGGTTCAAATGTGTGATAATACGTGTGCATGTAATTACGTTCATGTGCATGTAAGTCACATGAAATACAGCATATAAATGAATTTGACTTATTCTTATGAATTTATTCTTATGAATGTGACGAAATATTTTTTCAATCTTAATCTTCATTGTATTTCTCTTTCTTATTTATAATTTTTCTTGCTATCAACAAATATTCAACATATGGTATGTACCTCTGGAAAAAAAGTTTTCTTTAAAAACAATGCCCAAACCTTCAGAACAATGTGCTTGGTTCAGTATAGTATAACAGTGCCTGCACTATAGAAAAGTATTCAGTTGTGACTACTTTTGTTCAATTGTGGTCTTGAGATTTGGGTATATTTTGCTTCTTCAAAATGATAATGAAGTATATTTATAAGGCCATACAATACAGCACTTTGAATTCAGTTTTAGGACAGATGCTCCAGCAGATTTAGGAGTACAGATGTAGCATTTGCCTGCAAGTATTTAAAACAACCACATCTTTTCCTAGGATTATATGGCAGTTCTGGTGGGTAACTGCGTGTTCCTAAAGGTACAATCGCTTTGAGGACTTGTAGATAGCAGGTTCTTGCTCCCAAGTGTTCTGAAACATCTTTCTGAAGCACTATAGCTCTAATTATATGACAAACCATCCATTTATCATTAAACAGCAGATATGGTATAGAATGGGTACTGCATATAAGATTAGATTCATTTAATAAAGAGATTCTTGTACCTGGTGAGATAAGGTGCTGATTGGCAGCATTGTCCCATAAATACCAGAAACGGCTTCTTTTTTCCCTTTCAGATAGGCAGGTTTATCAACCCTGCTTTTTTCACCCAGCCTGTATGCAGATGAGAATTAGGAAAGACACAAAAAAATATGTACATCAGGATGAGCAAGAAATGAAAATAATAATAGATTGTTAATATAGGAACAAAGGACAGAGCTCTGCCAAATTATATTTTACAAGGTTTAGCATGCCAAAGTTAAATTAAAAAAAAATACTCTGGAATAGTGAGAGGATATAGAGAAATTATGGACAGGAATGACAAGCTGCAAAGCAACAGTAAGAGCAATTGTTAAAGATCAAAGGGGGAAAAAGGCAAAATTGAAGGTTTTGGGTTTTTATTCTCTAAAACCAAGATATTCTTTACTTTAGCCCTCTGAAAGAGACATGTCATATTTCTTCAGGAAGCACACAAAACCTTAGCAGTTTCTGTGTTTCAGCACAGTAGAGGAGAAAGTCAGATTTCAAGAAGTAAAAGGGCATTTATAAAGGGCTATCAAAGTCTGGAAGTTATTTTGGAGAGAAAAAGAAGCAGAGCTCTTAGTGTTTGTTCTTAAAGGCAATAGTGTATTTAGGTGGTGTAATGGATGACCAGTCGGGCTGTAAGAAACTTAAATGAATCAAGTACATCATAATCTTATAAATGATACCAAAATAGTGGGAGGATATATGTTTTGCCTTACAGGGACACACAGATGCTGTCTAAAATGGAACATTTAATTGAAAGTGTATTAAAGGATTGGAAAATTATAACCCTGCAACAAAATGGCTTCTGTAAAGATATGCTGTTGCTTTCTCCCGAAATTGCTGAAAATAGATTGTATATTTGTTTAGGAATGAATTGGGAATAAAAGACAATATATTGTGTGAATGGTAAACTAAAGAAGTAAAAGAGTTGTGATAAAAGTACAAATCCTACTTGATTTCCGTGGCTGCTTGAAAGAGTGAAAAAGAGATTACTGTATTTAGAAATGAATTCATTCAGAAAAATTAGATTGCAGTGGTCATACTAATCGGAAGAGGCAGAGCTAGAAAAGAAAGGACAATAGGGCATGTCAAGTACCAGGATAATAAACCAGCAGCCCCAGATATTTGGGATTATAATCCTTTAATATTTGCATGCTTGTTGGAAATGAGCCTAGCTATACTTTCAAATATGCAGAAAGCTCAAGGTGGCCTATCAGGTGGAAAGGTAAACCTTTAATTTTATAATATCTCTGTGACTATTTTTAAAACACAAATTATGAAATTAACTGGGATTAAATGTACTTTCTCACCAAAATACTTGTTTACATTCTCATTTATGTTTGTCTATATAGATGCATCTTAAATATGTATGCCACGTGTAAAAACCTGAAAGTGGGCAGTATAATATGGAGCAGCTGAGATTAAATCTATTCCTCTTTACAACCCTGGTTGATTGGATCATGCTTGAAACAAGTGGTTCTTAGACACACTACAAGGACAAGAGATGTCAGTCTCCTGTCAAGGTAGTGGCTGAAGTCCCCTTTAAAGCCAGAGAGAAAGCATTGTCACCTCCCACACATATTGCCCTCTTCCAAGTCAGAGTTGCCAGCAGTGCTTCCTAAAAAAAACACCAAGATTTCATGCTCAAACAAACCTAGATTCTACATACACACACACACAAAAGATAGCACAGAAATCGCCATACATCCGTTTTAAACCAACCTATTTTTACCTATTTAATCAGGGTTTCAGACTCTGAACACAAAAACTCAGATAACAAAAAACCCCAACATTTGTATTAAATTTTTTACCTATTTAATCAGGTTCCATACGCAAATAAACCCCCGATTCGACACACACAAAAATATCAAAAACACAATAACTCAGTTTTAAACTAAATTATTTTTACCTACCTAATATTATGTAATGTATAGAAAAACATTACATTTTAAAATAATATTACAAAAATCTAGAAACCTAGCTAGAGCAAACGCAAAGCAAGGGCGGTCCGACCTGGCCGTAAAAGACAGGCAGGAGCACCTCTCGTTGGGAAGGGCGCATTGCTCGAAGCGCGCTTGTTTGGGGTGTCGGGGATGCCCACCCGGCCTTCGCCTGCGTTCCCTACCCTGGGAAGTTTGTGAAACTTCGCTGCGTTTCTTTCTTAGGAGGAGGAGAAGAGGGCGCAGACCGCCCACTCGCTGGGTACATGCTGGGGTAGGACGCGGCAGAGCGAAATTTGGGTTTAGCGCCTTGCGCCTCGGCCTCGGCCTTCAGAGTATGGTGCGGGCCGCTACTCGCCATGGAAATAGCTCAGTCGCCGCAGCCTGCCAGGACCTTCGGGTTTCTCAAGGGCGAGGTGTCCGCCTGCTTCCTTCCCCTGGCGTCGCTTTCCCCCCGCGCCCCTTTCTGGCCGCTCGCTCTCTTCCTAGTCCTGATGGGGCGCATCCAGTTGGCCTCTCTCGGGAGAAAAGAGCAATGGCAAAGGGTAGACTCTCTCGGGCCGATATAGCCCTGCTCGGGTTGTGTGAAATGCTCCCCTCGCCTGGTTAGTGGGGTCATAATGAAGGCAAGTGTAGTGGCCCTGACGCAGTGTGGAGATTGTGCGGTGAGAGATAGGATTCATTGCGAGGTCTTACAGGCGCCTACATCTTTGGGGAGCCTATCTGCCTTTGGCAGGGAAGTCTTTTAAAGTCTGCGCCATAATCTTTGGGGGGGACAGGACAATGTTTCGTTGCTTTTTCCTACAACAGATTAGCTCATGCCATTAGCTCATGCAAACCCGATGTAGATATGTCGTTTTTTTCTCCTCTCCTCCCAACCTCTTGATTTTTTTAAATCAAAATGTCAGCAGCCTGGACTTTCTCCCTTTACCAAAAGCAGCTAAATAACAAAAGATGGAAGAACACTTTGCATGAAAAGGATCTGTAAGTAAAATAAATGCTGCTTTTATTTCAAAGAAATTTGATGTGTTAGTGTAAGGTCCCAGTCCCTTACTTGAACTTGAGATACCATGTCAATCTAATCAGATAACCCAAGCGGAGACTTCTTGATCAAGCAGCACTTTATTTGATCAAATTAAGCAGCTGGGTGGCCAACAATCTGGAACGCTGGCAGAGTTACATCCAGAAGTGCCATGAATTAGAAAGTTGGTAGCATTGCTTTATAAACTTTGTTAGCCAATGAAAATCAGACAACAGAGCCATTACATAATGATAATGATAATGATAATGATGATAATGATGATGATAATGATGATAATAATAATAATAATAATAATAATAATAATAATAATAATAATAATAATAATAATAATAATAATAATAATAATAGGAACTGCTTCCATCCTGCGACGATATCTGTAATACCATCAAACATCCACATCTGCCTATCCCAGGTCCTGGGAAAGGACTCGATAGGTAGACAAAATGCCAAATCCAGTCTGAACATCTGGCTGACTGTGCGATGATCCATAATAATAATAATAATAATAAACTTGGAAGGGACCTTGGAGATCATCGAATCCAACCCCCTGCTCAGGCAGAAAACCCTACACCATTTCGGACAAATGGCTGTCCAGTCTCTTCTTAAAAACTTCTAGTGTTGGAGCATTCACTGCTTCTGGAGGCAGGTTGTTCCATTGGTTAATTGTTCTAACTGTCAGGAAGTTTCTCCTTAGTTCTAGGTTGCTTCTCTCCTTGATTAGTTTCCATCCGTTGCTTCTTGTCCTGCCTTCAGGCGCTTTGGAGAATAGCTTGACTCCCTCTTCTTTGTGGCAGCCCCTGAGATATTGGAAGACTGCTATCATGCCCCCCCCGTCCTTCTCCGTTAAACTAGACCAGGGGTAGGCAACCTCAGCATAGCTGACTCAGGAATTCTGAGAGTTGAAGTCCATGAGTCATAAAAGAGCCGAGGTTGCCTATCCCTAAACTAGACATACCCAATTCCAACAACCGTTTCTTATATGTTTTAGCCTCCAGTCCCCTAGTCATCTTTGTTACTCTTCTCTGTACTCTTTCTAGAGTCTCGGCATCTTTTTTACATCGTGGTGACCAAAACTGGATGCAGTATTTCAAGTGTGGCCTTACCAAGGCATTGTAAAGTGGTATTAATACTTCACGTGATCTTGATTCTATCCCTCTGTTAATGCAGCCCAGCACTGTGTTGGCTGTTTTGGCAGCTGCAGCACACTGCTGGCTCATATTTAAGTGTACACTCCCTTATTCCCTCCTTCAGTATATCCCATCCATGTACATGTTTCCCACACTTGCGTGAAATTTCTCTGGGGCAAAAGCTGATTACAAAACGCAAGAAAGCAACAGTTAGACTAAACAATTTCCCTTTGTTCCAGAACCCTTCATTAGAATGAGACTTTCAGAGAGAATTGGAAAAACAACTGCTGTCAGACCTTTCCTTAATCTGTTAGGGAAGAACTAAATGGGGAGGTCATTATGTCTTGACGCGGGTGAAGAAGGAGAGTGCAAAAGTTGGCTTGAAACTCAACATTAAGAAAACCAAGATCATGGCATCCAGCCCTCTCAATTCCTGGCAAATAGATGGGGAAGAAATGGAGGTAGTGACAGATTTTATTTTCCTGGGCTCCAAGATCACCGCAGATGGGGACTGCAGCCAAGAAATTAAAAGACGCTCCTGGGGAGGAAAGCTATGGCAAATCTAGACAGCATACTAAAAACAGAGACGTCACCCTGCCAACAAAAGTGCGTATAATCAAGGCCATGGTTTTCCCAGTTGCAGTGTGGCTGCAAAAGTTGGACCATAAGAAAGGCTGAGCGCCAAAGAATTGAGGCCTTTGAACTATGGTGCTGGAGAAGACTCCTGCAAGTCCCCTGGATTGCAAGGCGATCAAACCGGTCAGTCCTAGAGGAGAGCAACCCTGACTGCTCTTTAGCAGGCCAGATGCTGAAGTTGAAACTCAAATACTTTGACCACCTAATGAGAAGGAAGGACTCACTGGAGAAGAGCCTAATGCTGGGAAAGATTGAGGACAATAGAAGAAGGGGACGACAGAGAAGGAGGTGGCTGGATGGAGTCACTGAAGCAGTAGGCGTGAGCTTAAATGGACTCCAGAACATGGTAGAGGACAGGGAGGCCTGGACGAACGTTGTCCATGGGGTCGCGATGGGTCCGACACGACTTCGCAACTAACAACAACTAACAACAACATGTCTTCACTTGGGTGTCATCATTACAACTAATTAGTCCATTTACCAGCTTCTGGGGAATTAAGAACAAGCTTAAAGACAAACCAAAATCAGAAGGAAAGATTTCCTGGGAAAACTCAACAGAGTTCTTATTTATTTGTTTGTTTGTTTATTTATTTATTTATTTATTTTTGTATTAAATTTATATGCCACCCATCTCACTGTTGAGCAACTCTGGGGAGCTTACGTTGGCGAAACAATGCCTGCTCACAGCTCAGATCTCAATATCTGAGCAATTCTCAGCCATAAAACATGAACTGGATGTGCTGAAAGGTGATATAGAGGGTTTATTTTCAAAAGCATGAAACTCGACTTTTTATGCTGATCAAAGCTGATGCTACCGGTCCACTTAACCTTCTTATCCCAGGGCATGTATGCTATTAAAAAGCAAGAAATTAAGGGAAAAGTAAAACAATCTGGCAAAATGCCACAGTACCCAAATATTTGTTCTAATAACTCTGTAATTCTTGCTAAGGCAAAAGGGATAGACTTCACACATACTAAAGCATCCGTGGTTGTTTCTAAGTATTTATATTCCCCCTTTTAAAACATGCTGAGGTCAATATCCCTCTCTCTCCCCCCCTTCCCCTATCTTTCTCTCTCTCTCTCTCTCTTTCTCTCCTCCTCCCCCCCTTCAAGGTGGCACTAGAACTCCTATCACAAAGAGCTGTTTTGCATTCCTGGCAGTTTATGCCACTCCCAACATCTCTGGGTACCTTGTCCAGCATTCATACTTTATCTCTGGACTACCAGAGCCTCTGACAAGTTATGACAAGAGAGGCAGCAGGAAGAACAACAGAGCTGCTCCATGCACCAAGGCAAAACACTGAAAGCCGGGCAGTGTACGCTGGCGTAATTTTCCTAAAAATTTGAGTCCAGAAGAAAGGGGCATTGGCCGCGAGAAAGAGTCCTAAAAAGTTAGATCCAATCATATGTGCAATTTAGCATTAAATGTTGCTTAAATTAACAGCAAGTCCAGTAGCGGTCAATAAAATATTGCCAAAAAAACACAATTAGTTTTAATACTTTTAAAAGCTTTTATCACCATTTTTAAAACTTATATAACAGTGTTACCAGAATATAGCTCATCCTTTGCAGCATAAAATTTACTGAATAGTGGGGTTTTTTCCCTCAAGATTAATAGACTGAAATGAAGTCAGGTGCCGTAAGTAGTGCACGTTCCATGTTTTTCTTGAGATTTTTAAAAACTTTTCGTCCAGTTGATCTTCTTTTTCTTGTGCCATATCCGTTATCGGACGTTGGCGATCATGTTGGCGATCCTGTTTTTATCAGCAGCCACACGAAAAAGTACTGCTGAGTTTTGTCCAAACCAATCACTTAGATTTTGAAGCCACAATCAAGAAGAAGACGGACCTGGAGCAAACGGAAGTTAGAAAGGGACCTCCTAATTTACCTCATACGGCATAAAAAGACCCACAGCGTAGTGTACAGGCTTTATAAGATTAAAAGTAAAAAATTAACAAAACTACTAAAGGGAACCGAAAGGGTCCGCCGAATAGTGGAGGAGTAAAGACTTCTTGTCAACCCAGCTTATACGTAACAGCCGGCTGTAAATCCACATTTCAAATGCTTCTAGTCTCTTCAGGTGGCCTTCTGTCAGAGACCAACTCTCTACTCCATAGAGAGGATAGAAAAAATATAGCATCTGACAAGCCTGATTTTCAGTCTTAGGCTTATGTCGTGACTGCAGAAGACCTTTTTCATTTTGAAGAATGCTGTCCGGGCTTTTTCTATCCTTGCCTTTACTTCAACGGTCATGTCCCAGCTTTCATGTAAATTGGAACCGAAGTGCGTGATCCTTTCAACTATTATTATCAATAGGTTTACCACTTTAAGGAGTTTGCGATAGTTTCTTTTGGAGGATAAAGTGGTTTATGCCTTGTCATGTTTCCAACCAAACTCTAAAGAAATGAATATGTGGCCAAAAACTAGATATCTAACCAACTAAATCTAACCATATGTAATTTTGTTATAAAAAAACCCCACAAAATCTAAACTTAACTAACTAATGTTAATAAACTTTAAAACTAATTAAATAACCTAGAACCTAGATAAAAAGGT